TCTAAACATTTTCGGTACCAACTTTAGCATGTAAAGGCCGACTCCGAGCTTAGCTAATTCTGGACGGTGACCGAGAGCAAGGGGGTTGCTGGATAGTCACAGCAAGAAATCCGGGGATTCTGCGGGTCCTGGGAAAGGGGGTTTCCCAATAGCTTTTCTCCCATCTTATGCTCCCTTGAATGAAGTTCCCTCCTTAGACACGCATATATACTTCTTTATCCATATGGCATATAGCCGATTCAAGTAAAGCTAGGAACAAGTCCAGATCATTAGCAGGTACCTGTAGGCCGGATCTGTGCCAAGACCTGCCAGAGCTGTGACCTGCAGATCCAGGTACCTGCCTGACAGGCTTGTGACAGGTCACAGGTCTGGCTTGAGCAGTACTCGGGATTACCAAAAGTACCCACTATATGACTTTTGTGCAAACATTTTTTCTTGTCCTGCTTGCACTACAACCATTCTTTCTCTAAAATATCTCAGATATATATAGCTCTAGGTCAGTGCAATATACTAGTAGCATGCCATCGATTAATTCCAACTTGGAGCTCAGTAATGCAGCAAAATTTTTAATGCATTGGTTATTAAATCATGGTCACTTGGGTGACCACAAGTACATGTTTACCTGCAGGTACCTGTCTGACATGTGACCTCAATTTTGAAGCTGATAGTACTTGATTTTATTGTCCAAATTCAAAATAATCAAATCAAAGCTAAAGCTAGGCATAAGTCCAGATCCTTGGCAGGTATGTGTAGGTTGGATCTATGCCAAAACCTGCCAGACCTGTGACCTCAATTATGAAGCTGATAGTACCTGATTTTATTGTCCAAAATAATTAAAACTACATACCATTGAGTGAACATAGTGTGGCACATGCACTGCAAATCTATAAGTTATTGCTTGATTTGCTATACAATAAAATAAATATCTGTTATACTTGAGGCCCTGCCACTGGTAATGGGCCAATGCTGCTGCATGGCAGTTACGAGTCATGCCCTATCTGCTGACCCCAAATACTGCCTTGCGGCATGGTTCAATTGAATTGCAATTTCATAATGCTATCAACTAACTATGTGACTTGAACTTGAACTGTTCGATCAACGTGTCCAACACATATACACATTCTAGAACGAGCGTCTCCACTATTAGCTGAGCCAAATCCAATTGAACGAAACGCGCCGGAGACTGTACGAAGACTTTTGATGCAACCAACGAAAAGATATCTGCCAAGAACGGTCTGATCTTCTCCTTCACGCTCATCCATATCTCTGACCGAAGGGAAGGGAGGCTTTGTATGCAGCGATCGGCCGTAATGGCCCCCAAATCACGCAAATAGGAAAGTCCTTACCACGCTCATATCTGATTTGGTCAATCCCACGCCACAGTATACGCTCTAAAATTTTTCCATCCTCCTTCATCGTTTCCGTTTGTGCCCCATTATAGCCTTATCCCCAACTGTTTGACTGCTATTTGTTTGCCTCTGGTATTGATATAAGAATGAGACCCCATTGCTGGGTATAACAACCGCCACTTGATGCATGCACCAATGAAAACATATCTGCCAAGATCGGTCGGATCCTTTCCCTCTCGCTCATTCTCATCTAGGGCGCGCGCTTGCCGATTGTATGTTGATGATGGCCATGGATGTGGGCGATCTCCCTTAGCTTCTGACCGGTTATGTAGGTCCGTATAGGGCGTGTAGCGGGGCAATATGCTAAACCGAGAAGTAGTAAGATGGAGAAGATAGGAGATCAGGAGGTGTTAAGTTTTAGGTGAGTGCCTTTCCTTCGAAAGTTTGAACGGAGACGTATTGATTTTTTATTTGTGTAGAGGTGACAACGTCAACGGGCAACGCTACTTGCTCGATTCAAGAATCGCTTCCCTCATCTGCGTTTTCTCCTGTGCTATTCAGTTTGGACATTGACGATCGAACACCTGATCCTGAACGGCTCTTGAGGTACGGGCGCTTCCACAAACATATCACGATTGATTATCCTCATACTCGTTTCAAATCGACAGGGCCTATTTTCACTCAGCTACAACTCTTAACCATCTCCGAGGTTTGCTTACCTCCGGTTTTGCCTCGCTCCATCAACCAAGAGATTGGTCGCTGAGTCACGTACGTTCGCCGTCTCTAAAGTGGGTTATTTCACTGCTGTATGTGTTTCGGGTATATCATGATGCTGATGCGTCTAAGCTAGGAACGAATTCGAAAATATCGTTGAAGATCTTACGGATGCACTGGACTTTAGTCGGACTATTGGACAGGATGCGGGGGCGTCTTTCGAGCATGGAGGGGCTCGGAGTACAGTTGGGGAGGTAGATTTCTATACTAGGTACGTTACTAGCGACCCGTCCTAACCGCGCTCGCTGACTGGGCTTTCCATCTTACTCATACTCATAGCCACGAAGGTTTAATGCTCGAATACGAACAAGCTCTAACCCGCGAATGTCCGGTCCCAAAATCCGTCAGCACCGCCCCGAACCAAAAAGGCTACTACAACACCTCTGCGCACTTTTTGTGGATCGGCGACAGGACGAGACAGATTGATGGTGGACACGTCGAGTATTTCCGGGGGATACGGAATCCGATTGGGATTAAAGTTGGGCCGAGTATGAAGAGCGATGAGTTGATTAGGCTGTTGGACAGTTAGTTCTCTTTTCCTTTTTGATTGTGGCGTTAGATTCTGACGCGTGGGCGTTGTAGTTGTGAATCCTGACAAGATATCTGGGAGAGTGACGCTAATATCAAGGTACGGTGCCGGAAAGGTATGTAGGCGGTATTCTATGTGTCACTGTAATTGGGTCTCAAACTCGCACCCTAGGTTGAGAATTACCTCCCAGATCATATCAAGGTCGTGAAGGCGTCTGGACATCCGGTAATCTGGGTGTGTGACCCCATGCACGGAAAGTAAGCAATCATCCCCATAGCACACGAGTATCGCAGAGATCTCATTTCCTCCTCAGCACCCTTACATCAAGCACAGGCCTCAAGACGCGCCACTTCCGCACCATTATTAATGAACTGACATCCTGTATCCGCATTCACAGCGAGTGCGACTCTCGACTTGGAGGCGTCAGTTTAGAGTTTACGGGCGAGCTGAATGATGAAGGGTTTAGCGTCACCGAGTGTCTTGGGGGGAGTATGGAGTTGAGCGAGGAGCAGCTTGGATTGAGGTATCAGGTTCGTGTGCGATACCCACCGACAGATGGTGCAATATCTGAAAAACATGGTTTTTTCGTCTAGTCTTTCTGCGATCCTCGCTTAAACTTTGAGCAAAGTCTCGGTAAGTCTCAGTCTTCACCTTTCTCTCTATATTATTATTATGGAGGTACTGAATACGGGCGTCATTCTAGACGTGGCCTTTTTGATTTCGAACCATTATAAAAACGAACGGAGGGGGAAGAAGAAGGAGCTGGAAAAAGACGTTCTCTTTACAGAGTTGTCTGGTAGTAATGGTAAATAGATGTCGAGACCATGTACATTGGAAAATGCTACTACTAGGATCTTGGGGGTCGTGTCTGGACCTCTAGGCGCAACACGCCTCAGCTGTAAAATATCACACGTGACCTTTTTCTTTCCTGACCGCCGTTTGCGACGATGCAAACGACACTTTTCCTTCAATCACTACGTTCTTTAAGATGCTCTACGACGTTGAATGCTTCAGCTAGCTCGATAACCAACCCGGCCTTACGGTCTTCATCACATTTTAGCGTCACAATATCTGGACGGACTGCAGGCTTCCGATTCAAGTCGACCAAAGCCGCCGCGAAATCTGCGTCCACACCAAAACCTGTTCCGTCCGCGGCTTCCGGCTCATCTAGTGCGGCTTCAGCTTCAGAGCTGGGTGCTGCTAACGCAGCGAAAAAGAGTGCCCAGGAAACGCTTTCATGGCCTCAATATCTTACTATTCGACGGAGCAAACGGAGGTGGCAGAATGTGCGCGAATTTCACTGCTTTCCAAGTTGTCATGAGTGCTCAGTATGATTCGATTTTGGATGTTATAGCTCGCGGCCTTTCCCTCCTCGATACTAGGTCTTTTGGGCGGAGCGGCATATTTCGGAGGTCTCGATACGGATCCTCTGAAACCCATCTTCGTTCGTCCTCTACCTTTGCTTTCTCGCGCTGACATTGATGCCTCTCCTTCTCGACAGGGCGTAGACCCATTCATGTTCTACGGCTTCTGCACCGTAGCCTGCATGGGCGGAGGGTACCTCATCGGTCCCACACTCGGAGCGTTCATCTGGCGTAGGTTACCTTCGACGAGGAAGTACGGGAGCGTGATAGATAAGAAGGATAAAGAGTTTTATGAGAGGATTGCGAAGAATCGGGTGGATGTAACGTTGCAGAGTCCGACGAGTCCTGTCCCGGATTATTATGGTGAGTTATCGTGGATTTTTTTTCTTTCTGGTGTGCTGCCCTTTGGGATTTTGAGTCCATCGTCGATTTGCGATGTTTCTCCCTGTCTTTTCTGCTATTCTCTACCTTGTTCAGTTGGTGTTCTGCCTTGACCTAATATGAATCTTCCACTTTCAGGCGAAAAAATTGGCTCTTTACATGAATACCGAAAGGTTCGTGTCCCATACTCCATTCTGTCTTTGCTTCTCAGCCTGGCTCATGCTGAACTCGCTACCTTCCTTTGCAGTGGCTACGCGACCAAAACAAGTATCGTCGAAAGGTTGTCTTCGAAGAGTCGGCATGAGGGTAATTGAGGGAGGAGTCTTCGCGTGTGCGGGCTGGGCTTGCCCGTTCATGAGCCGTTGGAGAATGCTTCGCCCCTTCGTCGTCGTCGTATGAATGTAGAAAGGCGAAAACCACGGAAGGGGGTGTAGAAATGATACGGGTCTGTGAATATCGATCTGATAGATTTTTCACAAAAATACAATCACCCGTACTTTGATACAAAAGTATTTATGAGCTCTCACTAGGCCTCACTGTTGATACAGTGCAGCAGGAAAACAAAGGAGATATTAGCCATAAAAAATCCAGAATACCTCAGATTTCCTTCTAGCCGACTTGAACGACTGACCTCGTCATAGAATGGATACCGCTATTGACATACTAGTGACGCGCTCTACCAACTGAGCTAAGAAGGAATCATTTAATGGTGAATTGATGCTCTCAAGTACTAATAACTAAGGCCTGCAAGGGTCAGGGTACTTCCAAACATGATCGTTGCCACACTTGGTAGCTCACTTGGTATGCAATCCAGCACATGCACAGCGCCAGAAGCAATACCTTTGAAATATTGGCCATATGCTTACAAGTACAAAGTTTAGTGGAGGGACCTCTCTCTCGTCATTGGTTGCGAGATACTATCATAGTTACCTTTGAGTTGCCTTCGATTAATTCAATTGGAATCAATAATTCCTAGTTCATGCATGAATAAACATGATATATTTTTAAGAGCTAGCAAGTCTCCGAGGAGCTCTGAAGGAACGCTAGATACTAAGCATGTTAAAATCTCAAACAAAGCTAGTCCCAATTTTGCGCACCGTTGAGTTCACGGTTTCAAGATACATTACCACGATTGTGATCTTACAACTAAGTATCTTTGAATTGAATTTTTCAACACAAGCACGAAATAAGGAGATATATTTCCAATCTCGGAACTAGGAGCTAGCCTGTCTGTCTAGTTCACCGATGGTGTCAATTGGAATCCCGAACCAAGGTGGTCCTGAGACGACAATATCCAGCTCACCAAGAGTCTATTCTGCTGTATAATCCGGTGGAGCCTCTACAAGAATACTACCCTGCCTCAAAACACCGTCCTCGGTCAGGCGCAGACCGCTGTCGATGTGAACAGCACGCATTTCATGCTGTTGCACTATTCCTTCACCTAATCGCTGGTTTCCTTGCTGAATTTGATCCTGCGCCCCAGGCAGGAACCGACGAAGCTTCATAGGCAGTATATTCGTGGAAGATCTATCACCGCTGATTGAACTAGAGCTCGGCAGTGTCGAAGCCATTTCATCTGTTGATGATTAAATATCGGATTCCACCTGTCGGTTGAAGATACATACTGAAAGTTATTCTTGATGAATATGTTTTCTCGCGGTTTTTAGACAAAGCAATTGTAACATTTTGAGATAATCTTTCTCTATTGACGGGATGGAAGGGGGTCGGGGCTGTAGCAAGGTCTGCTTTTCTTTGTTTTAATTTTCGCCAATACAGCAGGATACCAAAAATAATAAGCAGAGCTGGGATAACTGAGCCCAGAATTGCACCAATAATAGCTCCATGATTTGAGTGTCTCGGTGAAGTGGAGACAGCCGAACCGGTATGAGTAGCGGTTGAAATGGAGGTCGAAGTGGAGGAGGATGAGTTCAGCAACTCTTGCTGATCGGAGGTGAGCGATTGAACATAGAAGTAGCTGATGTCTAGCGGCATTCCCTGTTGGCTGCCGTTGAAGGCTACAGACACAGTATGTTCTGCGACACTAAGATTAGAAGCTGTGAAAAGCAACTGATTGGTCACGGTTGAGGTCGATGCTCCAATTTGGCCTGGTAACTGGATTGTCACGGGAGTATCATTATCAATTTGATATGCTGCGGTGTTTGAAATATTACTAAGATCTCCAAAGAGGGAGACTGATGTTCCTTCAATGTCCGTATAAATATTATGAGTAGGCCCCAATGCAGTGACTGACTTACCATTGAATTTGAGAACTGCTGTACTACCAGGTGTTGCCGTAACGGTTGAACCATCTCCAGCATCCACCGTCCATCCTGGCCCAAAGTTGAGTGAACTATAATTTGATGAAGGTACGAGATCAGGATTTCCGACTTGCAATATTTGTCCATCGACATCGGGATTAGCCAGACTTTCGTAAGTGATATAGTCAAGATGCCAAACACTATTCGGCCAGTTGGTCACATTTATTAGCAGCTCGTGTTCTCCAGGCGACCAACCGCCAAAAGTAGAATTAGCATGACAAACGATTATGTTGTTCTGGGTAAGATCCAGAGGGTAGTCATAAATGTAGCGGCCTATAGGTGCACCGTCGAGTAGGCAGGTAACTATACCGAGGGAGCCATCTGACCTCCTGCCATCCAAAGTCCCGTACACTCCTAGATAGGAGGTGCCTAAATAGACAATTACTACTTGGGCTGCAGTGACCTTTGAAGCTAGAGACATACTCACCGTTGAACCTAAAGCTGGCTGTTACATTACCAGATGTTGAATGCAGAGTACTATTGAACGCGGGTCCACTCCTGCTACTCTGGTCGAAACTATTTTGTGTGTTGGAAACAAATGACCAGGAGCCAGAGTATTCGAGCCTTGGGTCAGTATCATCAACCATATACCACACGGTGGACATGGGTGGAAAAGAATGAGACTGAGAGGAGTTTCTAGAAATCGATCCGCTAGATCAGACACATTTTTTTATCCGAGTCATTATAATTGATAGACTAATGAAACATGATGTTGGGTCCGAGATCCGGTTGCCAAGAGCTTGATTAATGCAGGCTGTCAGCGCTAACTGTCTATCATTGGCGACGGATTTAATACCGCTACTGCCACTACACCACTCTCTACCGTCTTTTACGGGGACCTGGTGCTCAGGCAGTGACACAAATACTACTACCACCATTTCAAGCCCCACAATCATTTGCCGGCAACAATAGCAAATGCAAATTCCCTCCTTGTGAGACTGGGGGACAGGGAAAAATTTGATGAAATCATAATCAAAGCAGCTGCCCTAATATGGTCACTTATTTCGCATATGCCAGATGCTACGGCATTAAGCGTCTAGGAAGGTCTTCTGACTACCCTGTTTAAGTAAAAAAAATTTAAAGGCCTTAAGAGAAATAGATTCTGATGAAGATAATAAAGCAGGAATTAAGTGCTTTCGGTAATTATAAGATGCTCAGAATGGATGACATTCTGTATAATTGGAAAGGGGGGTGTATCTTGGAGTCCTCAGTCTCCTGTTTGAGATATAGTTATCTTGGCAGGTGCAAGCAACATTCATGACATACATAGAGAAAAAATTCCATCAAGTTACAACTATAATTCAAGTTTCAAATGATTCCCACTGGGATCAAACAGATACTCCTTTCCGATTTTCTTGACTGGTTCTTTCATCTCGTCCTGATGTCATCCCATCATGTCTCATCATGTCCATCAACCAACTGTCTGAACTTAAAAGGGACCGACTCACCTAGATTCCATGGCAACCGACAATGCATACAGGCATTGGTCAATACGAACGAGGACCCAGAGGGAAACTATGTAGACATTAAGGAGAATGGTTCCATGGCAAAGGGGAAGTAGGAAAGGGAAAGGAACACTGCACAGTGGCGAAGGAAAGCAGATAATCGAATTTCTTCCCACAGTATACGTGCCTCTCGGGCCCTATTGTCAGCGCTCATTCCCGGTAGGAGAGAAGGGGAGTTCTGCAGATCATTGAAATGGAATCATGTATGCCGCACGGACTGAGGCGAAGCCGAGAAAGCAGGACATGGGGAAGTTTAATTTTCAGTTTGGTAGATGACACTGACATTGACAGTTTGACATGCACATGGGAGCAAACGGCCAAAGCCGAATATGTCCGATTGTCAAGGCCCCAACAGCGGAATTCTCATTCTTGTCAATGTCACCTGCATCTTCACTAACTCCAGTTCGTTCTTGTCCTTGTTGTTTCTGTTGATATCATCACTGTCTCTCCTTCATTACCTTCTACCACTTTTTCATGAGAGTCCACGGTTCAGAAAGATAATAGTGATAAGGAAAGGTTTACTTATGGTGAGTACGCTGTGAATATGCGAAGAAAGGTCTGATGTCTGCCATCAAGTAGAGTATGCATAACAAGTTTGTTTATTCTTTTCCGAGAGCGATTGAACCTACCCACCTATAACACCAATCTGAAGCTAACGATCCCAATGTCCGTCGGACATTTATCTTACTCTGCGATGTATCGTGGCAAACTTGAAACCGCGATGGCCTTCAGGGATGATGAATCATGATATGTATTCAAAAATCCCTTCGCATTTTCCGGCATCTTGAAATAATACATTATATTTACCCCTTTTGGCCACCAAGGAAGATAGTTGCCCCTTGCCCAAGTGTCTACAGACATCCGACTGGGGTTCCAAACTTCTCAATCGCTAGATGCCTGCACGTACGATTCAAAGCGATCATTACTGCGGTGATACTTTTTCAATGTCTTTAGACAGCGTCAGCTTCAACTTTACATCTGGTTGAATGCTCCATCATTGCTGAGCGCAGTGGTATAGGACCAAATCCTTTTGGAAGCTTTCGAGTTGCAATAAGCTGCGAGTTCGGACATCTGCTTTTACCTGATGGGAGGTAGCTGTCGTTCTATACGAAGATGTCGATGAAGCATGAAAAGCACCCATTGCCTTCGGACATATGCTTTTACTTGATGGGAGGTAGCTGTCGTCCTACAGGAAGATGCCAATGAGGCATGAAAAGCATCTATCCCCGGATCAAACCTCAAAACTGCTTAGATTAATGATTGCAATGTATCAGTATCAGAACCCAGTACCCAGATTACTACAAAACATAATTATTTAATTTAATAACCTACGCCGAGCCAACCCTTTCTCATACTAGGTTCAATCCTGATGACAATCGCGGATTTTGTGTTTCCCACCTGGCATGTCCATCGCATAATCTTGTTTAATCATTTCTGATCTGCAAAGGGCACACAGGTATTCTGGTGCGCATTCGCATGCTAGGCAGAGCTGATGGACTTTTTATAGGTCCTTTGCATGTTAGAGCTTGGCGGCAATCAACATTACTTAGTCTTCATCATATCTGCATCACATAAAGCATAATGATAATGATCACGATCATGATCATGGAAGGTACTAGGCTAATATGGATAATAAATGATCTCTAAGGACGTACATCATCTAGCTCCGTTATGCTCTGAAGATGCTCTCTGAAGATGCTCCAAAGAAATTGGACTAAGGTCAAGGTCATTATAAAGCCTCCTTTTTTTCGAACTCCTAATTAGTTTCTAAGCCATAACAGGATGGCAGTCTTCAAACAGAGAGCTACGTTCGTCATTTCTACTTGAGGCCCTGCCGCTGGTAATGGGCTAATCTTGGCGCATGGCGGTTACTTG